ACACCTGAATGTTTGTGTGAAGTTCAGCAATAACTACTTCAAATGTCTTGTGATGACTTTTCTAACTCACCAGCAGTTCTCTAGGTATCATCCCCACTGCAGCAATAATTTTCTTAAGTGGCCCCAGCAATATCAAAGTCAGGATTGTCATGCATTCATTTCTGCCAGAATCTGATCTGCTGGGTTAAGGGTGTGTCCTTCCTGCAGGACAAAGCTATGAACTGCACAACAGACTGTCACAACCCTCACCACTGGCAGTGGCATCTTGGAACTTTCCCCCTAACTTGTACATCCTCTCCACCATGTGGTACACATACACCTGTACACTCATATCTTTCATGTCTCATTATTGATCCTGCAGTAGGGTGCAACTTGATGCAATTTAACAACTGGAGCCACGAAGTCTGAATGCCAGGGGACAAAGACATCATGAGCACTTTCCCAGATTACTTGCACCAGCATTCAGAATCCACAGTTGGGTAGAGAATCATCATACTTAATTCATAAAACCCTTGCATGTATTTGCTTATATGTGTCACAATTGCATCTTTCTGGGCCTTCAATGGGAAATGAGTTTCACTGACAGAACCAAACACTTTGGGAAGCAAGTGAACCTACAGGACAGAGCTCTCCCCTTGCTGTTGGGGCAAGTCAAAGTGATGAACTCAGACGTCCTGTAGTATATGACCCCCTCTGTATAGTGAATGCAGGCCCTCTCAGTATTCTGGGTGATGTTGTACATCATGCTTGCCAGACTGAAATTATCTGTACACAAATTGCCGTGGATCCTTCATAGTCATTGGAAAAGCAGTGTAGTTCTTACAATGTGACTGAAGGTTATCTCTTTAAATGGCGGAGGTGGATGATTACATTCTTACTGTAGACGCACAAGTCTAACATTAGCTCGCTTAGATTCTCTGGGTTGGGTAAAAGTTCCTTCTAGTCAGCGTTTTGACAAGGAGGCTGACTTGTCTTCATTGTCCCACATGTCAGACTCCCACTAGTAAAAAGCATATAGCACTAGGGTCACGAGTACAGTTCCAGTAGGTGATGTAAATGTGAAAAGGCCTTACAGGTATGAACAAATTTTTTTAGCCAAATCATTGCGAACAAAATTTATGCAAAAGAAAAAAAGAATCTGATTCCTGGGATATTCGATACTGGTAAATTCCTCCCATATTGATCATGTACAAATGAAAACTTCAACACTGTAAAGCTGTAACTTTTTGCAGCAAAATTAATTCATAAAATGTAGACAATTAGCTTGAGTCCATGCCAGTACATCGATCTTTTGTTCACACAGACTTCAACAAGACACAGAATCACTTAAAGCAATTTCCAGAGTTCCACCTTTAATTACACACGTGGGTGCCATATTGCTGCCAATTTCACAGTTATAATGACACCAATTACTGATAATTTCACCATTCATTACTGCCTCAAAATCCAAGCAGTTACATTTGAGAGAGAGAGAGATTCAGGCCATTTCCTCAAACTTATAAGGATGTATCATTAGCAAGTAATATGTATTTAAACACAAATCTCCATTTGTACACTACTAACAATATGGAAGCAATTTTCCCTGCAAATTGGCAGTTTCTACAACCTTATTATTGGAAATGCTTCTCAATTATCCATATTCTTCTTATTTAGTCACTCAGTAAATTATGGTTTCTTTTTATCTCCATTACAGGATTTGAACAGCATTTGTAAAATGATTCTTAGGGAAAAAAAGAGAAAGCTCTGAAGAATACATTCTTGATATTAACTCAGTCAATTCAAAGTCTTTTTTTCAAATAAATCACATCTATAGGGATATTACAGAGCCAATACTTGATACTTTTAACGAAAAAAGCCATTATTCATGACATGGAGTGGAATCAAAATGGTGCCTGATCTTGTCCTCATTTGCACGGCACGCGCCAAAATGTCCAGAAGGCAAAAATGGGAAGGGAAAATGAGGGGCAGGAACATGATTGAATTTTCCAGAGACACTGAGTCAAGTTATAGCATTCCCAACCACATCTTGGTCAATATTATTTCACAACAGCCAATGACAGTGATCAAACCAGAACTGATTTTGGTCTGTGACATGGCGACTGATCTACTGCTGGGGATTGGAGAGTGTGTCTGTGTGCATGCACGGGGCGGGGGTGGATAGTGAGAGTGAGAGAGTGAGAGATAGAAAATTGCGGTGACACTTTGGATCCGAGAGGAGGAGGAGAGTTTAGGGACCAAAAGGGATTTCACAGCAAGCAGCATTATGTAGCAAATGAAAGACAGCGGGAGTGAACAAAGACAAAAGGGAAGATTTGAGGTAGGGTGCAAGGTAGGAGAAATTGTTAATAAAAAACAAAAGCTGTGCCCAAATGAGGTGTAACTGGCTGGGTAGCAGCTGTCCAGATGCAAAACGAAACATAAAAACAAAAAAGTAGAAAAAAAAAGGAAGCAGAAGTTATGATCTAAAATATATTAACGCAATATTGAATCCAGAATGGGGGAACAACTGTCTCAAAGTTTATGAAATTGCACAGTATTTTTAACATTTGCTGTGTTCATTTTGAAATTTCCTTGGAATATCTTTTGTCCCACATCCCGCAAGCCTGCTAGACACAAATTCTGAAATCCAGGAACCAGTTGTCTGGATTTTCTTTCAGCTATCTTATAATTTTCATGCGTGGCACTGTGTAAATCAATGCTGGACTGTAATGCAGCAGCTACAAACTCTTTCTAGTCCTGCTTACCTGTTGTGTGGGGAAGAGCGGAGTCGAATTACTATGTCTGCAAAAAGGCAGGGAATTTGATGGGCTAATTACTGTGGAGGCTGTAGTTGAGTAAATGGGGTTTAGGATGGTAATTACAGTGTGTGTGGGGGCAATGAGAGTATTAATTACAATATGTACATGTGGGGAGAAGACTAATTGCTATGTATGGTGGAGGTGCAAACAGTGAAGTAGTTGGAAGTCGTGGGGAGCGATAGGGCTCTCTCTCTGTACCCGAATCCTTTCCCAGTCCAATTATTATTCCAGAATCCTCTCCCTCAAGGCTCCTCCAACCCCCTTTCTCATTTTTAGCGAAAAGTCACAGCTTATGGGCTACAGTATTGTGGCGACTCCCCAAACCACAGCCAGCTCCACCAATCTGATTCTCATCATTCTGCAGTTTTTGCCCACCCCTCTGTCAATTCTTAACAGGCTTATCTCCTCCAAAAGGTCTACATCCTTAATAGCCTCCCCACAGAACACATTTCCTTGCCCAATAGTTATTGAGATTGTCATCTGCTCCTTTTGCTTAACAATTATTCTAAAATTCCTCTCCTTCCTAAATAGGTTCACTCTTGACCATACACTATCTTCCCACCTCTCATCTCCCTTTTCTCTCCAAGGTTCTCGAAAAGCAGGGTGACACCATTATCCTTTATCCACCCCTTTAATAAATCTGAGGGCTTCAGGTTGAATTTAACATTGCTCACTGCGTCAAGATCACACTGGTTAAAATCAATAGAGTCTTTGAAAATATTCCCAAGTTGTGATATCCCTTCCTTATCTCTCTGCTTCTAAAAATACAATTTGTCACTTCATTGCACTACATGATCCAATCCTACATGTCAGCAGAACATTGGGACAGTATCCACTAGTTATAGAGTCAGAGAGTCAGGAAACAGACCCTTCAGTCCAACCAGTCCATGCCAAACATAATCCCAAACTAAACTAGTCCCACCTGCCTGCTCCTGGCCCATATCTCTTCAAACCTTTCCAATTCATGTACTTATCCAAATGTCTTTTAAGTGTTGTAATTGTACCTGCATCCACCACTTCCTCTGGAAGTTCATTCCGCATGCGAACCACCCTCTGTGTAAAAAATTTGCCCCTCATGTCTTTTTTAAATTTCTCTCCTCTCATTGTTGTAATGTATGAGTAACCAGCTCACATCATTCATCATATTTTCAAGAAGAGATTAATTCACTTAAAAAGGTGTCCCCGAGTTTTGAAATACCCCATCCTAGGGAAAAGACAACTACCACTAATTCTATCTATACCTCTTATTATTTTATAAACTTCTATCAGGTCACCTCTCAATCTCTTACGCTTCAGTGAAAGAAATCCCAGCCTATCCAGCCTTTCTTTATAACTCAAACCTTTCATACCCAGCAACATCCTGGTAAATCTCTTCTGAACTTTCTCCAGCTTGATAGTATCCTTCCTATAACTGGGTGATCAGAATTGGACACATCCATTAATATCTTGGCGTTCCGAGAGTATTAAAAAAATACAGTTTGCATTCTAGATCACGACAGAATTCCTGTACAAACAAAAACTAAAACCACAGCTGGAAAAGGCCATCTAACAAAAGTGAAATGACAGATCCAGACAGGGCCTGATGAAACACACTGCAGTCATAAGTCACTGTTCGCCCGAACTGTGACCTATGATTACTGACATAAGCAGATTAGCATCAGAATTGTACAATTGCAAGTACATAAACTCTTTAACCTAATGGACTTTCAAACCAGTTTTTTTTCCTTTTCTGTTGTGCTCCAGTTTATCAAATAGAAGGTAATTCTTAAAAGACCATTCCTTATCATGTTAATCATTGCCATTTAAATGCAAGTCTGGTTGTCAATTAAAGAATTAATCTCTGCTTGAAAATATGACGAATCATGTGAGCTGGTTGGATTGGATGTTGAACCTTACAACCAGTTAGATTAATTTAAGATAACAAGGTGTAGAGCTGGATGAACACAGCAGGCCAAGCAGCATCAGAGGAGCAGGAAAGCTGACGTTTCGGGCCTAGACCCTTCTTCAGAAATGAGAAATTAATTTAAGATCATTTACTGTGAAATCTTCATTGCATACGGTCACTAACAACAATTCTTCACAGAAAACACTTATCGAAAGCTTATAATTTAATACTTACAAGCACAATTTTCATGCCAACTACAAAATATTTTCTTTTTATTTCCAATGACGAGGTTACCCAATCAATTGACTGATGGAAATGCCATGTTGAAGTTTACAGCTGGTCAACAGTGAGTTGCTCGTTTTTCTCATAGTTAGGAACAACACGATTCATTTGCCAGGGGGACCATTACATTAGACCTTAGGTCAGGAATGAATATGAAAAAAAAAGTTCATAAGTGCTCTTGCACACAACTGAATTTTTTTTTCCCATCACCAAAGGCATTTATTAACCACGTGAGCTATGGATTATATACTGAAACAAATGTATTTCATATTAAACTGATTATTTGCAATAAGACCCAATACCTTCAGACATGTTCCTATTAAATGGCATCAAGCATCAATTGTAGCTTAAGTAGGTGGAATTGTCTTGCAAGGCATAAGATTGAGAGTTCAAGATGCACTCCAGAAACCTGGGCACACAATCTCAAGTTTAGTGTAGAGGAACAGGCTTTCCAATGCAATGCTAAACTGAAGTACATAGCTGGACATTACGCTGAAGAGCAGGTTGTTTTCATTGGAGTCTTGGCCAATGTTTATTGCTCTGCCAATACCTAAAATAGGTGATTTGGCCACTTATTTCATTGTAGCTTGTGGGAGCTTACGGTGTGCAAATTAGCAGGTGCATTTTCTGCATTTCAAAATTGATATGCTTTAAAATGCTTTATTAGTTGTAAAGGGCTTTGGAAAGGCCTGAGCTAGTGAAATATGCTAGCTGAATGCAAGTCTTTTTAGTAAATTTGAATAAAGTTTTCTAAGTTAATTAATAATAGCAGGGTTTGAATGTGAATATACAAGGGCCAAATAACTCCAACTGAGGAATGAACTGAAGGTTGTCAATTCTGAAAGATATTATCCTAAACCAGATTATCCTAATCTACTTAATTGATATGTACATTTGCAATGGAAAAATATTTCTATAAGCATATAAACTAAAACAGAGTGAAGCTCAATTTTTCTTTTTTTGTATTTCGGTTTGGACATCCCGAGATTGTGCAAGGCACTATACAAATGCAAGACTTGCTTTTTTATTTTCCACCATAAGCCCAAAGATAACAAGCTTTAAATCTCCACTCCGTTTTTGTCTTTTCAAAAATAAGCAAATCTAGAAACAGAGGAATTGTTGTCTCATTTTTCCCCAATCTATCTACCTCCACCTTAAAAATTATGGCTGTTTTTGTGGCCAGTGCCACTGCTGGTTGGAGTACCATGCACGCATACACAAAATTACACCAGCCCTGCTCAGAGTTTTACGGTTGCAATAGGGTGCCCATTGAAGCAATTTGAAGTAGGACACTGTTAGAAGGACAACGCTGCACCTGAAGCAATAGCAAAGAGATTTACTTCAGTTCGAGCACAGAGATCCACCAAAATATTCACACCAGTGGCGAGATTAAGGCAAATGCAGCATCACAGAAGTCAGTTGTACATGCATAGATGGCTCTAGATGCCATTTTGAATGCATTGGGAACAGATACTCTAAAAATATTTCGGAACCCTATCTCCACTGCCTCCGAGACACAAAGTTCCCACAACACCCCCAGAAAAAAAATACGCCTCATGTCTGCCTAAAGGAATGACCCATAATTATAAAACATTGCGCCTCAGTCTTGGACTCAGCCGCTAGAAGAAACACTGAAATTTGGGAAACGGGCTGTATCAATTTCAAGGAGTTTCATGGAGGGTTTCCCTCTGAGAGCTGAAGTGCATTATCTCAATTCTTCACAGCTCACCTCATTATGTAGGCAGTGTTTCTATGACACCCTATTTGTGCTTTCACACACTTGCCAGAAGTACTTGCTAATACTTGCCTCATAGGATTCTGGTGCAATCTTTAAAACCCAGCTGTCCACTAGGTGAAGCACTGTCAATCAGAAGTTGCAGTTCACAGTTCCTGCATGTTACCAATTGCCCCAAAAACAGTGAGAAAAGGGATTTGGCCACCTGCTTTGCCGACAGGGACTTAGACGGGTGGTGCAGAGGAGATCCATTCTTTTTCTTAAGAACCAGCAGAGGAGACTATGGCACCTGACCCTGCCAGCCTGGTCTGTAGTTACCACCCAGGCCAGTGCAGGGTCTGGAGGAACGCACAGTATTCCGCAAGGTTAATAACTGTCTTCGCTCCGTGACAGTGAGTGCCATCATTTTCTATCTGCTACCTCACATTCACTCCAACTCTGCTTCTGCACCCACTTCCCACCAAGAATCATGGTCTACCACTCTCACTATTGCATACAACAGCTTCTCTCACTCACTGTCACCCACCCCAATCCCCTTAGACTACCAATCTTTCTTATCGCTTGTGCTGTCTAATCACTCAGGACATCTCATCACCTTTCCCTCACCTGCACCAGCACTATCAGCTGTGCAAGACATGTTTACCCCACTTAATCTCTCTCCTTCCCTTATTCTAGGAGAATTCAGCACACAATAGTGTGGAGAAAGACAAGATGGATAGTGGGTGCCCAACTTCCACCTCCTCAGCCCCACCCCAAGGCAAGACAAGTGGGAGAGGAATACGACAGCTCATGTGTTAGTGCCGAGACTTCCATGTCCAACAACCAAGTCAGCTTCATTGTCCATTGCTGTGTCCCAACCCTGTAAATGTGTTCTTCAAATACACAACTATCTACACCATTCTCTGTCTTGTCTCCTTCAGGCCCCAGTGGCATCTCTACCATGAAGAGACCAACACCTAAAGATATCCTCTCCTCATCTGCCTCGGAGGATGAAGCCACAGATCCAATAGCAAAGTTGCCTCCAGCCCCCTCAAATACTGAACACTTTGATTGGCATGTTAGCTGGAGTACAATTGGGTGCAGAATCTAGTGTGCACATCACTTACAGTTGGTCAAGGAAGAATCGCCCCAGGATACCGGCAAGGCAACAGGCGCAATTGGGACTTTGACCTCGCCCCAGGTGCTTCTTCCTCACAAGGTGACAGAGTAGTGCCAGTAGACATTTAGCTGGAGGAGGAACCATATACAGACTGCCCCGAAGTCTCCTCTCAGGACACTCTAGACGTGCCTCTGCTCTCCACCACCACCCTGTCTTCCACGCTCAATTCTGCGTGAGGTGAAGCTGTGGAGAGTGAACCAGTCTCTGGCCAAGACACACTCAGCAAGCCTGGGCCCCCTCAATACAAACACCCTGAAGGTCATCTGCCCAAAAGCCCAAGGCCAATGGGCTCCACTGTAGGGCAGGCTCCCTCCACCCAGGTATAATGGGAGGAAAAGAAAGAAGACAACCTTATGAGGACACATAGATGGGATAGTGACATCATTTTAAATACATTATCACATCTGGAAATAAATGTTCACTTTTAACATGAGCTGAGGGTGTGAATGTCACTTTAGCTGTAACTACAAGAATGAAGGTTTAGAGGTTAGCCATCCTCAGCACCACACGATGTTCTAACCCTGTCTAAACGACAGTTTCATGCTGGTGTGGAAGCTGTCAGGTTTCAATGAGGGAGCACTGGATGTTTTGAAGACTTCTATCCATTTGCAACATTAACTTTTATTAAATAACATGAACAGCATAGAAAGATGAAAATGGTGAGTTGCAGTGCAGTTAATGATTACACACAAGATGCTGACCTCTGCAGCACTAAGGTTTCTATAGACAGTGAAAAATGACTTCATGCAAATCCATTCCATTGAACAAGGTTCACACAGAATTTCTTCCTGCTGTTGCTGTAGGATGATGAAGGCGCTATTCCATCTGAGGAATGTCCTCAGATTCTTACCCATCTCAATGTCACAGTTCCCACAGATCCCCATCATCCAGCCCACAGCCTGTGCAGCTTCTAGTTGTTTGAAGCAGAGATTCTGAGGATCAAGTAGCATCCTCTGGTGGGTGGTATCAGTATGTAGCTCCAGACATGACCTGCATGGAAACCTGTAATGACTGTCTTGACATCCTACAGACCTCATTGGCCCCAGTGGAAGGGCTTGTTGCATTGTAGATACATTGGGCAGCATCACAAGGTGTTATGACATCTACCTCTGGACAGAGTGTAGTGCCACCATCTCTCTCTCATTTGCACAGCAGTCCATTAAAGACAAGCAGCTGTGGCTCTCCTGTATCTTCATCCCAACATGAGGGCACCTAGGGCTGAAAGCTCTGCAATAGGGAGCGGGTCCACGTTAGCTGCAGCTTGATGTTGGTCCTGCACTTGTGAATGTACATGCTCCTCATCCATTTGTTTTGCAGCCCTTGGTGCAGCGATCACACAGCTTCTGTGCATGGCTCTACTGGAACGGTTCCAATGAGCCAATGGGGCCAATATCAGGGACAAAGTAACTCCTCCGTAATAATGATCACTCAGCAGTTGCAGCATCACAAATAATATTTGAACAATGTCTTCAGGATATTGATACATGGATGCCTCCAACAAACAGACTGGTGTGATGTCTCCTGATGGACATCGCACATTGTTCCCCTGAATCAGACATCTATTGCTCAAGCCTTTTGGTGCATGTGCAGGAGCAGATTGTATGTGTCGCAGCAATATTGAGGATTTCTCTCCACTGCCCTTCACCCCAACCCCCATAGTACCCAAGAAAGACAATGTTGCATATAGGGTGAAGGTATGAACATTTCATAGTCCAAGGTGTGAAGTGAGCAGCTTCTGCACTTTGTGCTGGCAAAGGAACCTTGGAAAGTGATTGTGACTTTGGCAATTTGGGAGTAACTTTCCAGCTCACAAAACATGCTTGTGCCTCACAGCCATTAGTGGGATTGATTTGTAATGTTGAATCATGTAGTCGAGAGTGCTCGAGGCCAGGACACAGTCGGTAAACGTGTGAAGTCCACAGACAGCATTACGTGATAACAGATGTCTTTCGCCCATACTGTGTAGGTTTAATGCTATTGCCCTCTGAAGGACCTCACATCACACAGAGCTGGAGTCCCTCCCTCAGAGAATGAAACCCTCACTCCCCCACTCTGGGAGTGGTAGCAGCTATTTTAGTTTCCATTGTGCACTTGTACGTGGATGAGGATGGAAGGCAACAGTGGTCGCACTTCACGGAGAGATTTGCAGGCTCGGCCTTTCAATCAAGGTGAACTCTTAAACCTTCCCGTTCCTGTCTACTTTGCCCTCCTGGTCAACTCCATTGGCTTTCATCTTTGCC